TCCATGTGGCAGCTGCTGGCGTTGGCGTGGCACGGTGGGGGGCAGGCTAGAGAGGGGTCTGCATCCCAGGGGGAGTGCAACGCCGTTGGAGGGGTTGGCGTGAAAGTGTCGGCCAGATCTGGGGAGACGGATTGGGCAACGGCACACCGACGCTTGGGGCATGTGGCAATGCCTTTGCTGAAGCAGCTGGAGAAAGATGGAGCTGTCAAAGGTTTGAAGCTGAATAGACAGCCACCCGATGACAAATGTGAAATCTGTTTGCTCTCAAAGTTCACCCGTTTCCCTTTTCATAGTGTCGCTGGCTGCAAGAAGCCTTTGGAGCTGGTCCACATGGACTTGGTGGGGCCGCTGCCGGTGCAAGGGCACAAGGGGGAGCGGTATTTCCTTACAATTGTGGATGACTGGAGCAGGCTGATGTGGGCGTATCCGCTGAAGCAGAAGGACCACGCCGCCTCCACGATACGGGACGATTGGCTGCCGTTCGTGGAGAAGCAGGCGGAGTGTGTAGTAAAGCGGATTAGGACAGACCGGGGTGGTGAGTTCCTTGGAGCTGAGATGACGGCCTGGCTCAAAAAGCAGGGCATCCAGAGAGAGCTGACCACGGCTTACACCCCACAGTCCAATGGTGTAGCAGAACGGGCAAACCGGACAATTCTGGAGACAGCTAGGGCACTGCTCATAGAATCTGGGCTGAGCAATTCTATGTGGCCTCATGCTGTCCGGCACGCCACCGTCGCTAGGAACAGGGTGCTCACCAAGGTTGGGGATAACTCGTGGGTGCCTTTGGAGAGGTGGCTTGGGAGGAAGCCGCTGGTGGACATGCTGAGGGTGTTCGGTTGCATGGCAGTCGCCCATGTCCCCAAGACCTACCGAAGTAAGTTGGGGGCGAGTGCAATCTGGTGTGTGCATTTGGGGCTGGCTGCTGAGAGCAAGGGATGGCTGCTGTGGGAACCGTCCAAGGGTGTGTTGTTTGATAGCAGGGATGTGAAATTCATTGAGAGCATGATGTATGGGAGCTGGGAGAAACAGCCGGAGGCCCGGGTGTCCCAGCAGATGGAGCAGATCACCATGCAGCTGGACCTGACTCCTAGTGTGTGGGAGGAGGGAGAGGAGGCAGCTGCGGGGAATGGTGATGGAGAGAAGGTACAGGAGGCACCTGCTGGTGGAGAAAATGGTCTGGAAAGTGGCGGCAGCACTAGTGAAGCTGCTGGATCCAAGGGAGGAGAGCAGCAGCAGGGGAAAACTAAGAAGCCGAAGGGTATCGTTATGAGGGGATGGGAGACACCCGTCTCCAGGCCAGGACGTACCCGTATGGCTACTAAGAAGCTGACTGCAGGATCAGGTGTAGCGGAGCAGCAGCTTGGGACCGAGGAGGCAATACTGATACTACCTCATGGCTATGACCCGGATGAGGAGGACGAGCCTGCGTACTGTTTTCTTGCCCCTGCACCAGAGGAACCAGCTAGCATGGAGGAGGCACTAGCTGGACCAGATAGGGACAAGTGGCTGGCTTCTAGGGATGCTGAGTACCAGAGCCTGCTAGAGAATGGGACATGGGATCTGGTGGTGCTGCCTGATGGGAAGAAAGCGATACAATGCAAGTGGGTGCTGAGGATCAAGACCAATGACAAGGGGCAGCTCACCATCTACAAGAGTAGGCTGGTGGCGAAGGGGTTTATGCAGAAGGAGAAACAGGACTTCAACGAGATCTTTGCTCCCACTGCCAAACCCTCTACCCTCCGTGTCTTGTTGGCAGATGCAGCTGTTAGTGGGAAATTCATCATTCAGATGGATATTTCAACGGCATTCCTCAATGGGATTTTAGAGGAGGATGTGTACATGACACAGCCGCCTGGGTATGAGGATGGTACAGGCAGGGTGTGCAAGCTCAACAAGTCCATCTACGGCTTGAAGCAGGCGCCACGCTGCTGGTACCAGAAGTTGGCAGCTGTTTTAGAGGAGATGGAACCAGCAGCTGTGATGAGAGACTCTTTCTCAAGGGCGAGGGGGAGAAGCTGGTGCTGTTTCTGGTCTACGTGGACGACATTCTTCTCTTCAGCAGCAGCATGAAGGAGATCCAGAAAGTGCAGCAGCAGCTGATGGAAAACTTCAAGTGCAAGAACCTTGGGGAGGTAAAGTACTACCTCGGGATGCACGTGGAGAGGGATCCTGATCACAGGTGGTTGAAGCTGCACCAGGAGAAGTTCATCAAGGAGCTGGGGGAGAAGTATGGGATTGAGAATGAACGCAAGGTTGCAACTCCCTTGCCAGCAGAATTCAAGCTTGTGAAGGCTGCAGAGGATGAAGGGGTTGAAGCCGAGGAGCAGCAGCAATTTCAGTCCTTGGTGGGCAGCCTCTTGTACGCAGCAGTTCACACGAGGCCCGACATCTCTTTCTCGGTTGGGCAGCTGGCTAGGGTGGTGCAGAATCCATCAGAGGAGCAGGTGGATGCAGCTAAGCGTGTGGTGAAGTACCTGAGCATTGGAGTTCAATACTCCGCATCTGCACAGGTGAAGCAGAAAGGGGTGGAGGTGCTGAAAGAGAAGGGAGAGAGGCTTGGAGAAGGCAAGCTCTTTCTAACTTGCTTTACCGATGCCACGTGGGCTTCTGAGAAGGAGGATTCCTCATCTGTGGGAGGATACATCTGCGTAGTTGGGGGAGGACCTGTTAGTTGGAGGTCCAAGAAGCAGACGGAGACGGCACTTTCTTCCGTAGAATCAGAGTACATGGCGATGTTCCATGGGGTGAAGGAGGTGATTTGGCTGAGGAGGCTGTTAGAGGAGATTGGCCAGGAGCAGAAGGTTGCTACGCCACTGTTTTGTGATAGCAAGGGGGCTCTTGGGATGGCCAGGAACGCTGTGCTTCATGGGCTGAACAAGCACATACGTATCAAGTGGCACTGGCTGCGTAAGGAGGTGAAGAGGGGGACGGTGAATCCGATCTACATCAAGACTCACCAGCAGCCAGCAGACTTTCTCACCAAGAGGCTTGCGGATGAGCCTCATTGGCGTTGTGTGCGCATGAGTGGAATGAGCATGAACTAGCATGGAATGATGGGGATGCAGCCGGCAGGCTGAGGGGGAGTGTGTTGGGTGCAAATGCACATTGCACGACATCCTGCCGTCTGTTTGTACGAGTATGCGTGTGCGAATGCATTTGGGTATGAATGGAATGTTCGTGTGTTTGTTTGCTTTCGCAATTTTCGCTTGAAGCATTTGCAGGTACTCGCGCAATGTGCGCTTCGGCACAACATTGTACGCGCTATGAACAGTGCAAGCAGAAAGGACGAGCTCGCAAAGGAACCCAAGATGGAAGCTTTGCGGTTCGGTTGAATTGATTGCGCAGATCCAGTTCTATCCAACTCGAAATTGTACTGTTTTGTTTGGTTGTCTATAGTGTAGCAGGGCAGGCACTACAGGGGTACAATTTGGGTGAAGGTTGGATGTTGTTTGTTTGTATCTGCATGCTACAGGACCAGGGGAAACCAGCGGAACCAGCATTTGGCTGGTTGGGCAAAGACAAAACAGGTTCTGTTTTTAGAACCTGAACCTGGTTTGTTTTCCTAGGTTGGAAAAACAGAACCAGAGGTTGTTTACCAACCTACCACCTGCTATTTTGTCCAGCCAGGTTGGTTCTGTTGCTTGGAATTATTTGGGATCATCCCTGGTTGTTCCCAGGTTGATTCCCAAGGTCCTTGTTAGCTAGAACTATTTAGTCCTTCTCTGTTTGTACCTGAATATAGTCAATTGATTCAAGCGAATTCCTTCCTCGCTGGAGTTTCGTTTCTGCGCTATTCGATGGCGGAATGCTACCCGAGTCAACGCTAGTATGCTAGCACTCCAACGCTAGGCAAACGCTGTCCTAGGGCCCACCACGATTTTTTTTTCCTGCCCGGAGCGCGCTTCGCTCCTGCCCGAGTCGCGCCCCGCGTGCCCTCTCTTCACGTCGCCCTTAGCGGCCCCTCTCACGGCTCCTCACGCCGCCCTTACGGCCCCTCGCGCCGCCCTTACGGCCCCTCGCGCCGCCCTTACGGCCCCTCGCGCCGCCCTTACGGCCCCTCCTGGCCCCTCGCGCCGCCCTTAGCGGCCCCTTACGGCCCCTCGCGCCGCCCATAGCGGCCCCGTCACCCCACCCTCGCGGCCCCGTCGCCGCCCTTACGCGACCCCTTCGCCGCCCTTAGCGGCCCCGTCGCCCCACCCTCGCGGCCCCGTCGCCGCCCTTACGCGACCCCGGCGTCGCCCTTAGCGGCCCCGTCGCCACACCCTCGCGGCCCCGTCGCCGCCCTTACGCGACCCTGGCGCCGGCCTTTTGCGGCCCCGTCGCCCCACCCTCGCGGCCCCGTCACCCCACCTCTGCGGCCTCGTAGCCGCCCTTCGCGGCCTCGAAGCCGCCCCACTGCGGCCACGCCGCCGCCCTTCAACGGCCCCGCCGCGCCGAGCCTCCGAGCCGCCGAGCCGCCGTTGCCGCCGAGCCGCCGAGCCACCGAGCCGCCGTTGCCGCTGAGCTGCCGAGCCGCAGTTGCTGCCGTTGCCTCAGCCGCCGCAGCCGAGTTGCCGCCGTCACTGCAGTCTCGGCCCTGTTCCTGCTGGCAAGCCTCGGTCCTTTTCGCATGCCCGGTAAGCGCAGCGCCTCTGCCACTGCACTGCTAGTGTACTGCTGTCATGGCCACCCCCAGTGTTCTCACCTTTGACGCTGAGGGTCGGGCTGTTGACTTTGAGGTTTGGCTCGATGATCTGCAGCTATTCTTACAGTGCGATAGGGCAGACGGTCTCTCCCTCTTTGACCTCACTTCTGGTGCCTCTCCTCCCCCTGCTGCTGATGCTGATGCCACTGTTCGCTCCCAGTGGGCCACACGCGATGCTGCTGCTCGCCTTGCTGTGCGCCGCCACTTGCCGACCGCTGAGCGTGCGCACTTTAGTCAGTACAAGAGTGCTAAGACCTTGTACGACGCTGTAGTTGCACGCTACTCTTCCCCTGCCACTGCTGCGCTTAGCCGCCTCATGCTGCCGTACCTCTTCCCTGACCTCGCCGCTTTTCCCACTGTCGCTGACCTCATTACGCACCTTCGCACTAGTGACATTCGCTACCGCGCTGCGCTTCCTGCTGAGTTCTGCGCCAAGAACCCCCCCCCCATGTACATCACCCTCTACTACATAGTCACCCGGCTCCCTGACACCCTTCGCTCGGTCAGGGACCACTTTCTCTCTGTTTGCCCCACCACTCTCACCGTTGACCTCCTCGAGGAGCGTCTCCTAGCAGCAGAGCAGAGCATAGTTACTCTAGGAGCCTCTCGTGGTGACCCTCGTACCCCTGTCTTTGAGGGGTGCTCCCCCTCCCCCCTCTTGCCCTCTGTTGCCTCTGCTGCTGCGGCCGACCTCGTTGTTCCTGAGTCGGTCGGTGCGGCGTCTGCCTCTAGCGGGAGACGCCGCTCGGGCAAGGGCAAGGGGGGCAAGGGCTTTGGGGGAGCTGGCGGAGGTGGTGGCGGCGGCAGTGGAGGCGGCGGAGGGAGTGGCGGTGGTGGTGGGAGTGGTGTTGGTAGTGGGGTCACTAGTGGGGGCAGTGGCGGCGGAGGAGGAGGCGGTGGTGGAGGTAGCGGCGGCGGAGGTGGCGCGGCTCGGAGCGACGCTACGCAGAGGGTCGGCTCCGGTGGTGGTCCGCGCCAGCAGCAGCAGCAGCAGCGTCCTCGTGAGACCCCTTCCCCCCAGCAGCTTCGTGAGTGGTACACTGCTCGTCAGCGGGGCGGGGGTGCTGGCCCCTGTACCTACGTTCTCCGTACTGGCGACCGCGCGGGTGAGCAGTTTGGGGGGGCGCACTCCACTCAGCGCTGTTTCGGCCGTCTGACGGACGCTTGGCGTCACCAGTTCCCCGACGCCACTGAGATCCCTCGCTGGGGCGAGCTGTCTAGGGCGGGTGTTGCGATCTTTGATCTTGATTATGATGCTATTCTTGCTGCCATGTATGCTGTGACTATTAGTGATGAGGGTGCCTGTTACCGGTGTTTTCCGCCTGACCCAGGCATTGCGGCTGCTGCTCTAGGTGCTGGTGAGGCTGCTGCTCTAGGTGCCAGTGCGTCTGCCGCCCCAGGTGCCGGTGAGTCTGCGCTCTCAGGTACTGCGTCGTCTCCGGACACCCACACCTTCACCCTTGACTCGGGTGCTTCCCGCTCCTTCTTCCGAGACTGCACCACGCTCACGCCGCTTAGTCGGCCAGTGGCGGTCTCCCTGGCAGACCCCTCTGGGGGCCCTGTCCTTGCCCGCTTCTCCACTGTCCTACCGTGTCCGGCGGCCCCTTCTGGCACCCTGTCAGGTCTTTACCTCCCCTCGTTCTCTACGAACTTGGTGAGTGGTGCTGACCTCCAGGATGCAGGGGTTCACCAGTTCACTCCTGCGAGTCAGCGAGTGACCCACTGTACCTGTGCTCGGTCGGGCCGTCACTTGGCCACGTTTACCCGTCAGCCGGGGTCGAGCCTGTACACACTGACTACTGAGTCTCCTCCAGTCGCTGAGTCTGCTCAGGTAGCAGCGTCGGGTCAGGTGTTTGCTGCGGCGTCCAGGTCTGGCCCTGAGTCTGCCCCCTGCTCGTGTCGTTCCCTGTCCCACCGGACTCTCCTCTGGCACCACCGTCTTGGTCACCCCTCCCTGCCTCGTCTTCGAGGCATGGCTTCCCGTCTTCTTGTCTCTGGCCTCCCCCGGTCCCTCCCTCCCCTTCCTCCGGGGCCTGCCCCCACCTGCGTTCCCTGCGTCGAGGGGCGGCAGCGCGCTGCTCCTCACTCCTCCGAGTTTCCTCCGACAGAGGCTCCGCTGCAGACGCTTCACCTGGACGTGTGGGGCCCAGCCCGCGTCCGTGGGCAGGGTCACGAGCGTTACTTCCTGTTGGTGGTTGACGACTACTCGCGTTACACCACAGTCTTCCCCTTGCGCAGCAAGGGTGACGTCACTGAGGTGTTGATCGCCTGGATCCGCACAGCTCGTCTCCAGCTCCGGGAGAGTTTCGGCTCGGACTTTCCTGTTCTGCGTCTGCACTCCGACAGAGGCGGAGAGTTCTCCTCTGACCTTCTGCAGACCTTCTGTCGCGCACGAGGCATCCGCCAGACCTTCACGCTTCCGGCCTCTCCACAGCAAAATGGGATTGCTGAGCGCCGCATTGGCATGATCATGGACGTCGCTCGTACGTCCATGATCCATGCGGCTGCTCCCCATTTTCTGTGGCCGTTTGCGGTTCGGTACGCGGCGCATCAGATCAACCTTCACCCCCGGGTCTCCATGCCGGAGACCTCCCCTGCTTTATTGTGAACGGGGAAGGCTGGCGATGCGTCTGCGTTCCGTGTCTGGGGATCTCGGGCGTTTGTCCGCGACTTGTCTGCGGACAAGCTGTCCCACCGTGCTGTTCCCTGCGTCTTCCTTGGCTTCCCTCCTGACGCGCCAGGCTGGCAGTTCTACCACCCCACCTCGCGCCGTGTTCTGTCCTCCCAGGACGTCACCTTTGACGAGTCGGTTCCCTACTACCGTCTCTTCCCCTACCGCACTGCGTCCCTCCCTCCCCCGCCGCTCTTCCTTACGCCAGGTCCCCCTCCGGTAGACCCCCTCCCCCCTCAGGGTCCTGCCCCCTCAGGTGTGTCCCAGGTAGATGCGGTCGAGCCTGTCGAGGTAGCTGTTGACTCTGGTGCTGCTAGGGGTGCTGCGTCTGGGGGTGCTGGGTCTGGGGGTGCTGCGACTGGGGGTGCTGAGCTTGGGGGTGCTGAGCCTGGGGGTGCTGAGCCTGGAGGTGCTGCGCCTGGGGGTGCTGAGCCTGGGGGTGCTGCGCCTGAGGGTACTGAGCCTGGGGGTGCTGAGCCTGAGGGCGCTGTGTCTCGGAGTCCGGAGCCTGAGGGTGCTGGGCCTGGAGGTTCTTCGGGTGCTTCGGCGCGGCGTGAGCTACTCTCTCTACAGGAGCTGCGTGAGTGGTTTGCCCGGCGCTGGAGGCGTGCTGCTGGAGCTGGCGCTGCTGCGGACGCTGGAGGTTCTGCTGCTGCTGAGGGTGCTGGTGCAGCGGGTCCCGGAGGTGCTCGTACAGGGTGTACTGGAGCTGCTGGGCCTACTGGTGCTACTGACGCTGGTGCTCCTGGAGCTGGAGCTGCTGCGTCTTCTGGTGGTCTGACTGGAGCTGGAGCTACTGGGGGTGCTGGCACTAGAGGTGCTGCTGGCACTGGTGCTTCTGGGGGTGCTGGAGTTGGCGCTGCTGGAGCTGGGGGTACTCCTGGTGCTGGTGCTGCCGTTGGTGGTGCTGGTGCTGTTCCTGTTGGGTGCAAATGCACATTGCACGACATCCTGCCGTCTGTTTGTACGAGTATGCGTGTGCGAATGCATTTGCGTGTGAATGGTGTGTTCGTGTGTTTGTTTGCTTTCGCATTTTTCGCTTGATGCATTTGCAGGTACTCGCGCAATGTGCGCTTCGGCACAACGTTGTACGCGCTATGAACAGTGCAAGCAGAAAGGAACCCAAGATGGAAGCTTTGCAGTTCGGTTGAGTTGATTGCGCAGATTCAGTTCTATCCAACTCGAAATTGTACTGTTTTGTTTGGTTAACTATAGTGTAGCAGGGAAGGCACTATAGGGGTACAATTTAGGTGAAGGTTGGATGTTGTTTGTCTGTATCTGCATGCTACAAGGCCAGGGGAAACCAGCGGAACCAGCATTTGGCTGGTTGGGCAAAGACAAAACAGGTTCTGTTTTTAGAACCTGAACCTGGTTGTTGTTTTCCCAGGTTGGAAAAACAGAACTAGAGGTTGTTTACCAACCTACCACCTGCTATTTTGTCCAGCCAGGTTGGTTCTGTTGCTTGGAATTATTTGGGATCATCCCTGGTTGTTCCCAGGTTGATTCCCAAGGTCCTTGCTAGCTAGAACTATTTAATCCTTCTCTGTTTGTACCTGAACATAGTCAAATTGATTCATGCGAATTCCTTCCTCGCTGGAATTTCGTTTCTACGCGGTTCGTTGGCGGAATGCTACCCGAGTCAACGCTAGCACTCTAATGCTAGGCAAACACCGTCTGAGCCATAACTTCGTAATGGCAGAACTTTTCGCGAGGCAACTTGGCTCATTTTAAAGCTCTTGGAGCGAGCTTCGATATAGCGAATTCTCAGCTTAATCCGACCGACGGTCTGCATGGCACGCTGCGCGACGTTCAAGGTACTCTTGCTGTTTTGACTAAGTCCTTCTTGATCCCTCTCTCTACAAACTCGGACCCGAGGATAGGGGCTGGTCTTGTACCAGGCACCTAGGGACCCTTGGAGGTGACCCCGAGGAGAGGTTTTAAGTTTGATTAAGTCCTAATAGCTTGAGTTTATTAGGCCCTTACACCAACAAGCTGGTATCAGAGCTGCGTTATAGTGATCCTCGTTATAGGTAGCTATGGCGGGCAACACCTCGGCGGGAGCTGGTGAATCTTCAGCCCAAGATCGTAGCGGCAGCCAAGATTCTGGTCTTTTAGCGCCAAGGGGAGCGCGAACAAACCAGGGCTTGCTTGTCAAGGAGGTGCTGAAGAATTTCACCGTCGAGAAGTTCAATGATTGGGCCTGGAAAATGCAATTATATTTCCGTCAGATCGGTTTGCTGAAACTAATGATTGGGGAGGAGCCTAGACCAAGTGACCCCACGCTGCAGGAAGATTGGGACGAGCGCTCCTCGGCTGGCTACTATTTGATGTCGCAGAGTTTGGAGCTGAACCAGCGTCACCACGTCATGCACCTGCTGCCGGAGGTTGAATGCGGTCCGAAGGCGTGGACCGTGTTGAAGGAGCTGCACGCCCCGACCTCCGTCGTCGCAACGTTAATGCTGGAGAGGGAGCTGTCCGCGTTGCGCCTGAGCGAGGGAGAGCTGGTGCAACCAGTCCTGGACAAGATGCGCGACCTCTACGCGAAGTTGGCGACCGCGGGAATCACCTACCCGGAGCAGACCAAGTGCTTGAAGATGCTCTCGCTGCTGCCGGAATCGTGGCTTCAATTTACGAGCGGATTGAGCCTGCCGCAGAACCAGAGCTCGTGGACACTCGAGTGGGTGCGGACAAAGATTCTGGAGGAGGACTTTCGTCGCCGCCAACTGAGGGGTGGGGACGACGGCAGCAGCGGCTACGGAATGCAAGGGAACCGACGTGGCAGAGGACGTGGCTTCGGTGGTGCTGGGCGCGGTGCAAAGAAGGACGACGACTCCAACGACCAACAAAGAGGTACCGGTTGGGGTCGCGGTGCGAAATCTGGACGTGGGGGCAAATCGGGTGCTGGTGGCAAAATGAAAGGGAGTTGCTGGTATTGTGAGAAGGAAGGGCACCCCTGGTTTTTGTGCTATAAGAAACCCGATGGATGGACCCCCCAGAATCGTCACCAGGATGGCGGCGCGCGGAGGAACCAGAAAAACGGCGCCAACATGGTCGCTGATTCGTCCGACAACAACCCGAAGGGCAACGGCGGTGCGGAGAAGAAGAAGGAGCGCACCGCGGGCCAATTCTTCCATGTGGGAGACAAGGGGGAGCAAGGAGACGCCTCTGCCAAAGTTGGAGCAGAGCTGCACCCCCTAGACTATTGGGTGTTGGACACAGGCGCTGCTTGGACGATGACGCCGCGCAAGGACCTGCTGGACGAAGTACGAGCTGCACCGATCAATGAAGTGTGCTCCGCCTCTGGACACATGTTGAAGGTGGCTGGTGCGGGACGAGCTGCGTTTAAGGGAGCGGATGGCAAGCCGGTGGTGCTGCACGACGTTCTCTTCGTCCCCGACCTGAAGGCCAACCTTATCTCCCTCCGTAAGCTTGGCAAGGCTGGGGTGAACACCAACACGGATGGGGCACGCACTTATAAGGGGAAGCTGGGCAATCGGGTGCTTTGGGATCTGCACGAGAGCAAGGACGTGTACAGATCTATGTGGCAGCTGCCGGCCCTGGCGTGGCATGGTGGGGGGCAGGCTGGAGAGGGGTCTGCATCCCAGGGGGAGTGCAATGCCGTTGGAGGGGTTGGTGTGAAAGTGTCGGCCAGATCTGGGGAGACAGATTGGGCAACGGCACACCGGCGCTTAGGGCATGTGGCAATGCCTTTGCTGAAGCAGCTGGAGAAGGATGGAGCCGTTAAGGGTCTGAAGCTGAACGGACAGCCACCCGATGACAACTGTGAAATCTGTTTGCTTTCAAAGTTCACCCGTTTCCCTTTCCATAGTGTGGCTGGCAGGAGCAAGAAGCCTTTGGAGCTGGTCCACATGGACTTGGTGGGGCCGCTGCCGGTGCAAGGGCACAAGGGGGAGCGGTATTTTCTTACAATTGTGGATGACTGGAGCAGGCTGATGTGGGCGTATCCGCTGAAGCAGAAGGACCACGCCGCCTCCACGATACGGGACGATTGGCTGCCATTCGTGGAGAAGCAGGCGGAGTGTGTAGTGAAGCGGATTAGGACAGACCGGGGTGGTGAGTTCCTTGGAGCTGAAATGACGGCCTGGCTCAAGAAGCAGGGCATCCAGAGAGAGCTGACCACGGCTTATACCCCACAGTCCAATGGTGTAGCAGAACGGGCAAACCGGACCATTCTGGAGACAGCTAGGGCGCTGCTCATAGAATCTGGGCTGAGCAATTCTATGTGGCCTCATGCTGTCCGGCACGCCACCGTCGCTAGGAACAGGGTGCTCACCAAGGTTGGGGATGACTCGTGGGTGCCGTTGGAGAGGTGGCTTGGGAGGAAGCCGCCGGTGGACATGCTGAGGGTGTTCGGTTGCATGGCAGTTGCCCACGTCCCCAAGACCTACCGAAGTAAGTTGGGGGCGAGTGCAATCTGGTGTGTGCATTTGGGGCTGGCTGCTGAGAGCAAGGGATGGCTGCTGTGGGAACCATCCAAGGGTGTGTTGTTTGACAGCAGGGATGTGAAATTCATTGAGGGCATGATGTATGGGAGCTGGGAGAAACAGCCAGAGGCAAGGGTGTCCCAGCAGATGGAGCAGATCACCATGCAGCTGGACCTGACTCCTAGTGTGTGGGAGGAGGGAGAGGAGGCAGCTGCTGGAAATGGTGATGGAGAGAAGGTACAGGAGGCATCTGCTGGTGGAGAAAATGGTGTGGAAACTGGCGGCAGCACTAGTGGAGCTGCTGGACCCGAGGGAGGAGAGAAGCAGCAGGGAAAAACTAAGAAGCCGAAGGGTGTCGTTATGAAGGGATGGGAGACACCCGTCTCCAGGCCAGGACGTACCCGTATGGCTACTAAGAAGCTGACTGCAGGAACTGATGCAGCAGAGCAGCAGCTAGGGACCGAAGAGGCATTGCTGATTCTACCTCATGGCTATGACCCGGATGAGGAGGATGAGCCTGCGTACTGTTTTCTTGCCCCTGCACCAGAGGAACCAGCTAGCATGGAGGAGGCATTAGCTGGACCAGATAGGGACAAGTGGCTGGCTTCTAGGGATGCTGAGTACCAGAGTCTGCTGGAGAATAGGACATGGGATCTGGTGGTGCTGCCTGATGGGAAGAAAGCGATACAATGCAAGTGGGTGCTGAGGATCAAGACCGATGACAAGGGACAGGTCACCATCTACAAGAGTAGGCTGGTGGCGAAGGGGTTTATGCAGAAGGAGAAGCAGGACTTCAACGAGATCTTTGCTCCCACTGCCAAACCCCCTACCCTCCGTGTCTTGTTGGCAGATGCAGCTGTTAGTGGGAAATTCATCATTCAGATGGATATTTCAACGGCATTCCTGAATGGGATTTTAGAGGAGGATGTGTACATGACGCAGCCGCCTGGGTATGAGGATGGTACGGGCAGGGTGTGCAAGCTCAACAAGTCCATCTACGGCTTGAAGCAGGCGCCACGCTGCTGGTACCAGAAGTTGGCAGCTGTTTTAGAGGAGATTGGATTCAGGACCAGCAGTTGTGATGAGAGCCTCTTTCTCAAGGGCGAGGGGGAGAAGCTGGTGCTGTTTCTGGTCTATGTGGACGACATTCTTCTCTTCAGCAGCAGCATGAAGGAGATCCAGAAAGTGCAGCAGCAACTGATGAAAAACTTCAAGTGCAAGAACCTTGGGGAGGTAAAGTACTACCTCGGGATGCACGTGGAGAGGGATCCAGATCACAGGTGGTTGAAGCTGCACCAGGAGAAGTTCATCAAGGAGCTGGGGGAGAAGTATGGGATTGAGAATGAGCGCAAGGTTGCAACTCCCCTGCCAGCAGAATTCAAGCTTGTGAAGGCTGCAGAGGATGAAGGGGTTGAAGCTGAAGAGCAGCAGCAATTTCAGTCCTTGGTGGGCAGCCTCTTGTACGCAGCAGTTCACACGAGGCCCGACATCTCTTTCTCGGTTGGGCAGCTGGCTAGGGTGGTGCAGAATCCATCAGAGGAGCAGGTGGATGCAGCTGAGCGTGTGGTGAAGTACCTGAACTCTCACCCAAGCATTGGAGTTCAATACTCCGCATCTGCACAGGTGAAGCAGAAAGGGGTGGAGGTGCTGAAAGAG